ACGCGGTGCGAACCGGGGAAAAAAGCAGCGGAGCGGGTCGGGAGGGGGCCGGCGGCGGCGGCAGGGCGGCCGGCGGTGTCGGTGGCCGTGCCCCTCCCCACCCGTCCTGCCGGCCCCCGGCCACCTCCCGAGAAGGATCCCGTTTCGGGCTCCTGCCTGCCGGGCACCCATCCCGGGGGCGCAGGCCGGCCACCGGGCATCCCGGGCCAGCCGGGGCGCAAGGAGGTATTTGCTGCTCAAAAACCTGCATTGCACCCCCGGGATTTCCCACACAGGCGGCAGGGACTGCAGCAAACCCCGGCGCCGCCGGCTCAGCTCCCCCCGGGCAACCGGCAAGCGAGGCTCTCCCCGCCGGCAGCTCGGTATTTTTTTCGGGAAACACGAGCAACCAACAAACTCCCTCCCCTCCTTCACCCTGTTCATTTTATAAGACCCCCTCAGTGCGCAAGGCGTTGGTTGTTCCCCTTTCTGCCCCTTTCAGGTGTTATTTCTGAAGCCTGAGTGCAATGGTCGATTTTTTTTTTTTTAACCCAGGGATGATTGCTCTGTCTTGCCTTGTTTCGTGGCCAAGGAAACATGAGCTCTCCCCCAAGTCCCAGAAAGGGACTGAGCGTACTCGGTTTGCCTTCTGTCGCTTTGCACCTGCAGGGTTTGTAAGGGCTGGCAGGAGAGGGCTGCGGGGGGAGGCAGGGGTATCGCTTGCCGGGCTGGTCCCGCTGCCCCAGGCAGCGGCTGCTTTAGCAAAAGCCGGAGAGGTTCAAGCCTCTGAACACCCCTTAACTCCTGGGCAAACGTGAGCTGGTGAACTGGGGAGGGGAAAAAAAGGCCACGGAAAAGCATTTAAACGTTGACAGTAACCACGATAAAATTATCACCTGCTTAAACAAAAAATATACACACACACAGAGGAGAAAAAAAAAAACCCAAACACAGATCAACAGGGAAAAAAACCCACAGCTGAAACAAAAGGCAAGCCAGTGCCTTTCTAGCTGGCTGGATAATCGGGGAGGGTTGCAGCCACTGCGGCTCTGCCTGCCCTAATTCCTGTCCCCAGCTCCGACTGAGCAACCGCAGCCCCGCAGTCCCCGGAGGGCCGCAGAAATCTGGCTCCTTCCTTCCCCGCCAGTGCTGGATGAACCCGTGCTCGGCAATCGGCTGCTCTCTGCCAGCCTCCACCTTTTAGCAGCCTGGCTCAGCTCTGGAGGGAAGGCTGCGCCTTGCTGCCCGCTTGGGCTGCCCTGCGACGCGGCGAGGCTGCACCAGCACTGGGCTGAGGTGGTGGCGGTCGATTTTCTTCTTTTAAAGGCAGAGGGGGGGAAGTCACTTTCCCATCTGCTCCTGTTCAAGGCTGTAACAGGGAGATGGAGCGGGCCCGTGCTGGGAGCAAAAGCTTGAGCCAGGACGCACAAAACTGAGGAAACACTGTCTGAATGGTAGTGAGGGCAAAGACGTCGGTCCTTACAGAGAGAGCAGGGAGGGATGGTATAAAAGTAAAGTGCGGTACCCATTTCTCACAGGACTTTCCGATGGCTAGGTCTACCCCTCAGAAGAAGCAGCGAGATGCTGTTGGTCCCTGGCTGGTTTGCACAGTCTAGGGACAAATGTATCGGTGACTCTTCCAGCCCTCTTCCTTTCCGGGGCCCTGTTTAAATCTGTGCAGTTGCTTTCCTGCCCAGTGAAATCCAGTAGGCTCTGTGAAGGGCTGACAACCCAAGGAGACAGAGGCCAGTTCAGCCTTCCTATACGTCAGGGCTGATTCATTAATAATTAGTGCCATTAGGTGCACTACAGTAGTGCCTGAGGGCCCCAATTAAAGGAAAGTGAGCTTGTTAAATCCAGAGCGCCAGATTCTCTCTCTGTTACTCCTGCCTGATGCAGAGGTGGTGCCTCCAGGGTGGGCAGCAGAAATAGCCCCGGCTTTCTAGGTATGCAGCCTCTCTGCCTTCCCCCTCCCTCCTCCTCCTCCAGCTTTTCCCTCTCCCTTCCCTTAGCTGCAGATCCTGCTTAAGGACTGCTGCAGAGAGAGGCTGGTACAGGAGGTGGCTAGCAGGACTAGCGGGAGGAGGTGGCAAATCAGGTTATTTTTCAAAGCCGCTTCATTCTTCATCACAGGGCAAAGGAGTGGGTTTGGATATTGTTTTTTGCAGGGATGGGGATGGGTGGGCAAAGTGATGGGGACTGCAGAGGAGTCTGTTACAAAATCAGATGCAATTTTAGCTGTCCGAAAGAGTTGCTTTAGGCTACAGGCAGCTCATGATCAACGGTGCTGTTGGCAAATATGCTTCCAGCTGGCTGCTGTCTCCTCTGAGGGATAGTTTCAACCCAAGGCCCTTTGCAGTGGTGGTACAGCAAGGGGCTTTTGTTCGCTTTGGGCTAAGGACCTTCTGCTGCTCAGTTCCACCAGTGAGAAGAAAAGCTGGAGGTGATGTGGGAGAGAGACACAGCACTGTCATTGGTGAGTTATTGGCTGTTCCTTTCTCTTCAAATCCCCACGGTGGGACTGTGTTAGAAGATCTTACTCAAAGCCCCACACTCCTGAGCTAAGGGTTTGCTAACCCAGGCTGTGCTGGCATCGGCTTTGCCTTTCAGAAAATACTGCAGAAACAGGTTTAAATGATTCAAATGATCAGAAACCCAACCTGTGGCCTCTGCCCTAGCTTTTTAGTTTTTATCGTTTCTTTTATTTTGTTTGTTTGTTT